AATAATTTTAATTATACACTTCTTCGTCGCACCTGTTGTAATGAACATTGTTTCAACATGAATCACAAAATATTACTAATTTACTTAATAGTGATACTGCAACAGAAATTATTGTTGATTTAACAAGTAGTTAGTATATTAAGTTTTGAATAAATTACATAAAACACTATAATTAATAGTAAAGTTAATTAAGCTCTGAAAGTGATGGCAAAAGATGAAATGCAATAACTTAAAAAAACACTGAAGGCACCACAACCAGTTCAACAGTTATCAATTAACTTCTTCACTACAGGACCCATGTATACATGATTCTCAGGGTAAGCACTTATACCCCAAAATTGTATACTACACATTTTTTCTATTGCTAGTGAAATACTGGCTAGCTTAACAAATATTGCTTGCAAATTGTCCCATATTACGTTTTATACAGAACCGTCCGTGCTACCATGATAGCGTTGGCTCTTCTGAGCGCCCCTGCACCTGGATAAGCCAGTGGGGAGATCCACTCACTCACCCTGCCACAGTAATTCCTTTCTCACCCTGTCACAGTCATCGCCTGAAGACAGTATCCCTAATACATACACACATTCACAAAAAAGATAGTGCCATTTTATGGGTTCTGTCGCACCGTCCTGACTTTTTGGGGATAATATGGAACTGTCCCCAACAAGCATAGTGCAAGTTCATCATTAGATGCGTCACAAACCTGTCCCCTTTATCCCCTTCCCACCTGTGTCACACTTCTCAGGACAGCGAAGTTGGGAGGTACGCACAAGGATACTTACTATCAGAAATATACTCACAGGTACATACACAAGTACACAGTGCCAGACACACACATGGACATAGCCAGATACACCCTGTCAGACACACATTGTGACTGTATGGGAGAACATATAGGGTAAAATATGAGTGAGAGGATTATGTTCTACTGCGCATTATTTTTTCTGTTGTTTTCCCATTTGCTATTTAAATTGTTTGAAATAAGTTTTTACTTACCTGAAATCCATGGTTGAACGAAGCTGCAGGCGCCTCTTTACACCCCCCATCCTGACGTCATGACAGCCAACGCAGAATTGACAGTATAGCAAAACAGAGTTCCAGGCTACCAATGTTACTTGTGCTAGAAGTGCTAATAGCTTTCATTTATTCATTTATGTTATGTGGCTTGTTCACTTGAATGACAAATGCACTTTACTTATTATATAGATTTATTTTTTTAAATGTGTCATTTACATTTAAACCCCAAGTACATATCAAAACATATAGACATACATGTAACACAACATTTTCCTATAGGATATATAGAGCTTTTTCAGTTTTTTTCCCCACCTACATCTAGTTGAGACAAGGTTTTCATTTGGTGATAGCAGCAGCTGGAAAAATAGAAATATCTGTAACATATAGCAATATTAAAGACATAGCAGGTAGCATTTAACTACAAGTATTCACTGTGGAAACTGCTAAAACAAATGAATTCCAAATTGATGTTACCTGTAGAGTCCATAGGTAAAATGATTTGGAATTCATTAGATAATCAACAGGATTTTCTTTTCAGAAAAAAACAGTTAAAACTAATTTTAACTGTTGTTAGATGGTAATTACCAGTAGCAGTTGGTAAGAATGTGCTAATTATTTTTATTAAACATTAAAAAAAAAAAATCAACAGACAATAATAAAGGAAAAGGGATAAAAAATAAAAGTACACATGAGAAATAGGACACAGTGTAGCAAAACTTGTGCTGGTAAGAATTACTGGTAAGTGACAGCTATATTAACACATATAATGCTTTAAGTGACATTGCCACTGGTCAAAGAAAAACCCACTAAACAACCCAAAAGTGGATAGCGCTTTAAGAAAATAAAATGTACGTGCAAATAAACAAGCTGCAATCAACCTAAGTGACCAAATTATCCAAAAACAAAAACGTGTTGCACTGTAAATTATACTGAAAATCCAATGATTAAAAGGATTCTGTAAAAAAATGATAACAAAACACTATATAGTGCAGATTATACTTTATATATATATATACCAGTAGAAAGTGATCAGCACTCACGGATTTCCAAAAGTTGATTAAAAAAAAAGCTGTTTCGACGTTTCAGTCCTCGTATGGGACTTTCTTCCTGAAGAAAAGTCCCATACGAGGACTGAAACGTTGAAACAGCTTTTTTTTAACACATGGATTAATAAACTTCATTTTTTAATTAACTTCTGGAAATCCGTGAGTGCTGATCACTTTCTACTGGTATGTAAAACTCCCCCTGATTTCAAGCACCCGGTCTTATTGTTTCTTGGAGCCAGAGTGCAAGGATTTTGTGGACTGTCTTATATATATCTATATATAAAGGAAAGATTGCCATCATTGGAGTAAAGGTCTTCTGGTGTGAGCATGATGGAAGTTTTTCACTCTCAAGCGGAGCTTTTGTCACCTAAAGCCAGGGTTGATAGGGCTCTGGTAAATGGAAATAGAAATCGCTGTTTAGTAGATATTACCAAATGAAAACAAGCATGCATTTTATTATTGATTGTTTCCATTCAGAGTATATTTAAAATCAAAAGAAGAAAGTTACCTGCACTCTTCCCAAATCCCTATGCATATTTAACCCCATTAAGGACAGAGCTTCAGAAGCTTGTCTTTCACTTAATGACAACAGCATTTTTTTGCATTTTTTTGCTATTTGCGTTCAACTGCAACTTGCATTTTACTAATTTATTGCACCGACACATAATATATACCGTTTTTTAAAGGACAGAGATGGATTTAATTTGATGTAACATATATATAAATGCTTATTTATTATTAAAAAAAATACAAAAAAACGCAAAAAAATTATAATTTTTGTGTTTTTTTTTTTTACTTTTTTTGCAATAATAATGTGTGCATAATTAGTGCAGATTAAGGAAAGTAATTAAAAAGAAATTCATTTAGTTGTTCTGGTTTACAGAATATATAATGTGTCTGGGATTTTCATTTTTTTGTGGTAGTTACAGGTCACAAAGCACAAGGAGTAAAATAAACTTTTAATGTGGAGCGATTTTAGAATTTGGTAGGTTTGTCTTGTAAGCTTAATAGCCATAAAAGAAAACAAAATTGCCACACAAAAGTATATATTTATATAAAAGAGACATCGCAGGATATTTACCTAAGGTTGTTTTGACACTTTCTACATAGCCATTTCACTGCCAATCTCTGCTAAATATTGGAGTAAAATTTAGTTTTTTTTGGTTTTTGGCACACAAACTTATAACAAAGAACTTCTCATGTGTATTTTGTAAAGTTGGTGTGTGCTATTCCTGTACAAAGTTTTATTTTGTGTTCAGTTACATCTGCTAAGTAAAATGACACCCCCATTGTATGTCTTTGGCACTATTTCGTGAAGCTACAGTGCCATATAGGAGACCTGTCCTTTTCAGTATTCACAGTAGAATTTTGAGAGAAGGATTTAATGAGCCTATGCTTCCATTTGGGGTATTATAACAGTTTGACTGTTCAAAAAAGCCAACATAGGCCTACCATTTGTAAAAGTAGACACTCCAGGGTATCTAATAAGGTGCATTTTGTGCCTTAATATGTCCCCATTTTTTCACCAATATATGCCAAAGTATGTGATAAAAATAATTTTGTGCTTGTTTACATATGGATTGCATTTTTTCTGGGCATTTTGTATATTTCACATGTGCCACTAAGTTCAAACCCCCCAAATTATGCTAAGTCTTCTGAGTAAAAAGACACCCCCAATGAATGTCTTTGGCACTATTTCGTGAAGCTACAGTGCCATATAGGAGACCAAGCCATATCAGTTTTTACCGAACTTTGAATTTTGACTCTGGGCCTATGTGCAATTTCCAAACATCTTAGCAGGTTTTAAATTCAATCTACCCCACAAAGGCCTACCATTTCTTAAAGTAGACACCCCAGGGTATTTCAAAAGGGTATATTTTGAACCTTAGCATGGGAACATTTTTCCGCTAGCTTGTACCAAGTGTGCTATATAATCCAAATATCCCATAAAACCATACCATTCCTTAAAGATGACATCCCGAGGTATTTCAAAAGGCATATTTTGAACCTTAGCGTGGGATCATTTTTCCGCTAGCTTGTACAAAGTGTAGTGGTAATAAGTGTTTTTTCTGCCTTTTTGACACACAAAGTGAGTTTGCACAGTATATTTTGCAAACCTTATGTGTGCTATGACTGTATAATACTTCATATGTTGCTCAGCTATGTCGTCTGAGTACAGCAATACCCCCTGTATGTACCTTTGCCAGGTATATGTGGATGTTGAAGGGGCACATTTGAGACGCAGCCATTCAGTTTTTTTCTAACTTTGAAGTTTTACGCTGTGTCCATGTTCCAATTTGGAGTAGTTTAGACGGTTGGTTATTGAAACTTCCCCACAAACACATACTATTTATTAAAGAATACACCCTGGGGTAATTCAAAAGGCATATTTTGAACCTTAGCGTGGGATCATTTTTTGTCTAGTTTGTTCTAGGTGTAGTGGTAATGAGCATTTTTAAATGTATTTTTTTTACTTTTTTAAACATTTTTAATTTTTAAAACTAGTTTTAAAACTTTTGTTTTGCTTATTGTTTTGCCATTTATTTGTTTTTTACCAATTTATGTCAAATTTTGTGGTGAGAAAGAAAAAAATTTTTTTTGGTATTTTGCACATTTCATATGTGTCAGTGTCATAAAATTCCCCAAATTATGCTCAGTTACCTCTTCTGTGCAAAACAATATAGAAACATAGAAACACAGAATGTGACGGCAGATAAGAACCATTCGGCCCATCTAGTCTGCCCAATTTTCGTAATACTTTTAATTAGTCCCTGGCTTATCTTAAGTCTAGGATAGCCTTATGCCTATCCCACGCATGCTTAAACTCCCTCAGTGTGTTAATCTCTACCACTTCAGCTGGAAGGCTATTCCATGCATCCACTACCCTCTCAGTAAAGTAATACTTCCTGATATTATGTTTAAACCTTTGCCCCTCTAATTTAAGACTATGTCCTCTTGTTCTAGTAATTTTTCTTCTTTTAAATATAGTCTCCTCCTTTACTGTGTTGATTCCCTTTTTGAATTTAAATGTTTCTATCATATCCCCCCAGTCTTGTCTTTCCTCCAAGCTATACATGTTAAGATCCTTTAACCTTTCCTGGTAAGTTTTATCCTGCAATCCATGAACTAGTTTAGTAGCCCTTCTCTGAACTCTTTCTAAAGTATCAATATCCTTCTGAAGATACGGTCTCCAGTACTGCGTACAATACTCCAAGTGAGGTCTCACCAGTGTTCTGTACAATGGCATGAGCACTTCTCTCTTTCTACTGCTTATGCCTCTCCCTATACAACCAATCATTCTGCTAGCATTTCCTGCTGCTCTATTACATTGTATTCCCACCTTGAAGTAATCTGAAATAATTACTCCTAAATACCTTTCCTCAGAAGTTGAGTTTAGTAGGGTATCAAATATTCTATACTCTGCTCCTGGGTTTTTACGCCCAAGATGCATTATCTTTTACTTATCCAATTAAATGTCAGTTGTCAGTTGCTCTGACCATTTTTCTAATTTATCTAAATCATTTGCCATTTGGCTTATCCCTCCTGGAACATCAAACCTGTTGCAAATTTTAGGATCATCAGCAAAAATACATACCTTGCTATCAAGACCTTCTGCAATATCACTAATAAAAATATTAAAGAGAATGGGTCCAAGTGCAGATCCCTAAGGTACACCACTGGTAACTAGACCTAGAATATACTCCGTTGACTACAACCCTCTGTGGCCTGTCATTTTGCCACTGCCTAACCCATTAAACAATATTGGAATCCAAACTCAGTTTAGATTGCAGTTTATTGATGTGCCTTCTATGTGGAACAGTGTCAAAAGCCTTACTGAAATCTAGGTAAGCAATGTCTACTGCACCACCCTGGTCTATTATTTTAGTTACCCAATCAAAAAAATCAATAAGATTAGTTTGGCATGATCTCCCTGAAGTAAACCAATGTTGTCTCTGATCTTGAAATCCATGTGATTTTAGATGTTCAACAATCCTATCCTTAAACATGGTTTCCATCACTTTTCCCGCTACTGAAGTAAGGCTTACTGGCCTATAGTTGCCCGACTCCTTCCTACTACCTTTCTTGTGAATGGGCACAACATTCGCTAACTTCCAGTCTTCTGGGACTACTCTTGTTAACAATGATTGGTTAAATAAATCCATTAATGGATTTGCTGGTACACCACTAAGTTCTTTTAATAACTTATTTGTCTTTACTGTTGACAGTTGAAATAGATCCTCTTCCTCTGTAAACTCACATGTAACAAATGACCCATTTGTCCTTTTTCCTAACTGAGGCCCCTTTCCTTCATTTTCATCTGTAAATATTGAACAAAAATATTAATTGAGGCAGTTTGCTAGACCTCTTCTACATACCTTCCTTCTTTTGCTTTTAATCTAACGATTGCTTTGCTTTCCTTTTCTCATGTATGTATCTAAAAAGTGTTTTATCCCCCTTTTTTACTGACTGTGCTATTTTCTCTTCTGTGTGTGCTTTGGAGGCTTATAACTTGCTTAGCCTCTTTCTCCCTAATCTTATAGAGCTGTCTGTCTTCCTCACTCTGTTTTTTAAAAAAAATATAATTACTAAATGCTAACTTTTAGTTTTTTTTTTTACTACTTTGGCCACTTCTGTGGAGTATCAAAGTGGTTTCTTAATTTTTCTGCTCTTCCTGACAAGCCTAATGGAATTTTCTGTTGCTTTCAGTAGCGCAACTTTTAAATAACCCCATTTCTCCTGGAATCCATTTAAACTGCTCCAGTCTGACAAGGACTCCTTTACACATATTCTAATTTTAGAAAAGTCTGTTTTTCTAAAATGTAAAACTTTTGTTTTTGTGTGGTGTGACTCAGTCACTGTTCTTATATTAAATCACACTGACTGATGATCACTGGATCCTAAACTTTCACCTACAGTAGTATCTGATACTAAATCTACATTTGTTAACACTAAATCTTCCTTACGAGTTGGTTCCTTAACTACTTGTTTTAGAGATAATCCCAATAGAGAGTTTAGAATATGTGTGCTCCTGGCACAAGCAGCTGTTTTGGTTTTCCAGTTCACATCCGGAAGATGAAAGTCACCCATGATAATAACTTTGCCCTTCATTGTGATTTTAGCCATTTCCTCAACTAGTAGATTATCTAACACTTCTATGTGTCCAGGGAGCCTGTAAATCAAACCTACACGAGTTACTGTGTGATTTCAAAATTCAAACGTAAACCAAACATACTTTATGTTCGCCTCACTAACTTTTATTAGGCTAGATTTTATGCTATCCAAAGTTTTGCATAGACATTATTTTGTGAAGTTACAGTGCTATAAAATAAATGTGTCAGTTTCAGATTTTTAAGTGTAAATTTTCATAGATGGTTTTGATAAGTCCCTGTTCTATTTTGAAGTATTTTAGCAGGATGCTTATTCTAACTACCCCACAAAGGCATACCATTTCTTAAAGAAGACATCAAAAGGCATATGTCAAAAGGCATATTTTGAACCTTAGCGTGAAATTTTTTTTCCGTTAGTTTGTACCAAGTGTAGTGGAATAAGCATTTTTCTACCTTTTTGACACACAAAGTGAGTTTATACTGCATATTTACCAAATCTGGTGTCTGCATTGGCTGTATAATACTTTATATGTTGCTCAGCTATGTCATCTGAGTACAGAAATACCCCCGTATGTACCTTTGCCAGGTATATGTGGATGTTGAAGGGGCACATTTGAGACACAGCCATTCCAATTTTTTTCAAACATGGTCTATGCTGGGTCCATACCCAACTTTCAAGTCTTTTTTAGCAGGTTGCTTATTCCAACTACACCGCAAAAGCATACCATTTCTTAAAGAAGACACCCCAGTGTGTTTTGGGATCATTTTTTTCCTTTTTTTTTCTCAAACTTTTCTTTCTATTTTTAAAAACTTTAAAAAAAAATCTACTTTTAAAAACGTGTTTTTTTTTACTTTTAACTATTTTTTTTTTCAATTATGATTTTTATTTTCATATTTTAAACATATTCCACATATATGTACATGCATACTACATATACAAATATCATACAGTGGTTCCTTTATGATCTTATCCATATATATTTAGATTATCAGTCTTCAATAATGATCATATTGTTACCTTACATTAAAACCTTATGTCAAACATCCAAGATGTAGAAAGATCATTATCAACTTTTTTTTTACTAGTTTAAACATTTGTTTCAACTTTTTAAAACCTTTTTTTTACAGTTAAACCCTGACTAGCCTATCTGTAAACCCTCCAATCCCCCCACTAACATCTACCCACCCTAGCTAAATAAATAAATATATTACAAATAGTTAAGTAGCTAACTAAATAAATTAGCTAAATAAATTAGAAATACTGTGATCTGTATTTTGATCTCTGCAGACAGTGATCAAAGGGCAAGAAAGGGGTTACTTTTTATTAGAAAGGAGTAAGGGGTGGGATTTTTATAACAAACACTTTTTTTCTTGCAGAGAACAGCAGCTCAGAACCAATCTGTCTCCTTGCACTTCACAGCTTACACAGAGGTGTAGGGAGACACATTGGGTTTTACTGCAGCACTTGTGATCACATAGGCTGAAACAGTGAGATTGCGGCAACCTGGGGTTAATTTTAGTATTGGATGGAAGTTTTCCATCCTGCGTCTTTCAGGGTGGACTGATATGATGGAAAATTTCCATCCTTAAGGGGTTAATTCATAAAAGTATATATTTCTATTAAAAAGTATTATATTTCTGAAATTTTTGTAAAATGAAGAAAAATGGACACACTCTTCTTCCATAAAGGAAGCTGAGGGGCTTTAACCCCTTAAGGACACATTACATGATTCCCTTTTATTCTAGAAGTTTGGTCCTTAAGGGGTTAAGGGTCTGGAGTGTTCTTTTAACAAAAACATTGGAAACCAGACAAAAGATATTAGGTGTAAAATGACACTATAGGCACTTAGAATACTTCAGCTCAAAGAAGTGATATTGGTGCAGCCAGAGGTGTAACTAGAAACCATGGGGCCCGGTATGAAAATTGCTCTGGGCCCCCCCTCATACATCTACCTCCCCCCCCGTACATCCCCCCATAAGTCCCCGTCCCCCCCACACATGCAGACATACAGATACACATGCAGACACACATACGTGGAGACACACACACAAACATACATACAGACACACACAAACAAAAACACATACATACAAACACACATACATACACACAGACACACAGACATACATACAAACATACACAGACACATACATACAAAAACATACACAGAGACATATACATACAGGCACACACACATAGACACAGAGACACATACAGACACACATGCACACACACATACAGACACACATACATACAAACACACACATAGAGACACATACATACAGACACATACACTAACACACACAAAATGTTTTAGTCACTCTCCTGTTTCCTACCTTTTAGGTGCAGGAGGGTGACTTTCCCTGGGGTCCAGTGGCTCAGGCTAATGGGAGTCAGAATTCCCACTATGACCCCCTCCTCTCTTTCCTCCTCCCGCACAGCTCTCAATGGTTGCTGGGAGGAAGTGACCGGGCAGTCACTTCCTCCCAGCATCTGACATCATCACAGGGGACCTGGTCAGCTCTGAGGCTCTTTAACAGTGCGACCGGGCCCCCTGAAAATGTATTTCCATTTGGTGGCCCTAACAGCATGGGCTACCGATGGGGCTCAGAATTCTTGGCCCCGGCCCGCGTGGTAAAACATAGCTGGCAGGCACCATGGTTACAGAAGTCCACAGGGTGGCCAGGCTCCCTCGAGTGATGGGCCCGGTCGCAGCTGCGACCCCTGTGACCGTGGTAGTTCGGCCACTGGGTGCAGTGTTCCTGTCCCCCTTTTTTTAGTTTTTGAGAAACTACAATATTTATACTGGAGTTCTAAGACAGCCTCTAGTGGCTGTCTACAAGGCAGCCATTAGAAGTGCTTTGTGGAGTTTAATAGACTCTAGGTTACTTAAATGACTCTGGGCATCCTCACGCTCTGCATGAGGACATCTAGTGTCAGTAAATTTCCCATAAGAAAGCATTGATTTAATGCATTCCTATGAAGAAGGCTTAATGCAAAGTGGTTCATGAACATTACCTCCCCCCACCAGATGACATTGGAGGAAGTAGAGCACCGACCACTGGCGTACATACCAGGGTCGCAGGGGTC